TGTATTTACCATTAGCATGAAGATACTTAAAAATGTATTACTTTATTCTTACATATACATTTATAGTTAGTTAGTTAAACAACTTTGATAGCAAATTATAATTTTAAAAAAATTATTGATATATAATATTTATTCAGATTTTAAACATATAAATACATAACTTAAGGTATTAAAAATAAATATAATATTCATTTATATTATAAAAATAACTTGATTATATTAAAAATATATTTAAAATTTAGAAAAATATCCCACTGCATAGTGCAGGTAAATATCTACTAGATGATGTGTATTAATTAAAATGTTCTGATTGGTTTGGTTATTTTGCTGATGTGTCAATTTCTGGTAATTTGAAAAAGCTGTAGTGTCAAGCTATGGAGAAACATTGATGTTATTATTGTATTGGTTGAGTGTAATCTGATAATCAGAGTGGGTCTAATATGGTTCCGTTCTGATTTTCATATATATATATATGTACTATCTAGTCTATCTTGGCCTATATAATTTTATTTCTTTTGACTGTTGGTGTATGTTTATTACACCGGTTTGAGTTCGTAATTTACACTTAATTAACATCACACTTTCTTAGCCTAGATCGTTTCAGTCTAGGGATTTGGCAGACACTTTATGTGGTTCCCCATTCTCGCAGAGATTATGCAGCATCAAATTATGATGCAAAGGTGCAATTTTTTTCTCTACAAGCGACTATTTTATTCGATCAGTCTCTCGCATTCCTTACGGTACCAGTGCCAAATGTTCTTAGCTTCTAGAACTTAATCTATATTGGTAAAGTTTGTTCCCTCGGTCTGAGTTGGATTTTTCCAAGGAAAGTTGCAGTTTCTCTGTAGATTCTTGATGGAAAATGTTTTAACTCATGCTTCGTTTCTGGTTTTCAAATGCAGATGCGCTGGTTTAGCAGCTTTACCCAAAGCAAGAGCTTGAACTTGAGGACTAAAGAATATTGCAGGTGCTGGTCTAGCTGCAATTGTGCGGCTGCAAAAAAATTGGTTTACCTGGACCTCAAACTCTGCGAGAATATCGATGACTCAGACTTTTGGGCGCGCTCGCTTACTTCTCAAAAAACCTAAGCTAGGTGAAGAAAAAAGAAAGCATTTGCAATTTATTCTTTGTGTTGTGTGTTATGGTTTAGCAGTTAAACTTGTGCGATTCCTTGGTGTCAGATACGACTCTATGCATATTGATGAGCAATCTGAGTCGGGTTCAAAACGCTGACTTAGTCCACATGTGTCGTGTAACCATGGAAGGATTTGATTTTGCGCTAAGAGCCTGTTGTCACAGGCTCAAGAGGCTTCGCACCTCCTAGATTCTTGCTCTCATCGGAATGGCTCGAGACGTTTCACGCTTGTGCTTGTCGCATCAAATGGGACAAACACACAAAAAAATCTATCATGTTTTCGATAATTTTCGATTGAGATTCACTTTCATTGTATGAACTGGCGACAAAATAGTTACAGTATGTTGCAAAAGGAGTTAAATACCTTAAGCCATAACTATTTAAAATTAGATTTATGTAGTTTGGTTAAATATTGTATGTTTAAGCTTTTTTATAAGTTTATCAATTTTATATCTAAAATATTGTATTTATCAATTACAGCAACTAATATCTTTATTCCAGTAAAATGTTTTTTTTCCTCTTTGTATGAAAATTGAGAATATGGTTTTAGTCTTATGAGAAGTTTTTAATTTTTTAAATAAACATGATATGACTTTAGATTAAATTACAGTTTTAAGAAGTCAAGTATGCTTAATTTCTTGGTGGGATCTCCAATTATCAAAGATATGAATCATCTTATATACAATCAGCTTAGTTAGTCCTCTGAGTTAGATGGATGGTGGATTTCATTTATTTTGTTTTTTTGTGTACAAATGCAGCATCTCACAGTGGTCAATGTTCATGGTTCTTTAAATATTTTCTACCATTATTTTCAATGTTAAATTTAAATGTTGTTTGTGATAATATGTTTCTTTTGGAAAATTTTGTTGGTAGACGTTTCATGATGCTCTCTAAAATGGTTTCAATTGGTTTCACACATTAGCTGAAAAAGAGACAATGAGGTTCCAATCTGATTGTCATAAAAAAATAAATATGTTACATGTTTATTGTTTGAGATAAAAAAAAAATAGATAACGGAGAAGGGAAAACCAGTTTTGAGTTCCAAACACATTAATAACAAGGTATGAAAAATGTGAAGAAATTAATTGAGGTAAACAAATTAGTAAAAAATAAAGAAATTATATTATATTAAATAATATAACTTTATGTATAAATTTTTTTGTGATATGATTTTTTACCTAGTCTCGTAAATTTCTCTACAAGAAGAGAACTCTCCTTTTTATGTTGCATCTCACACACTTTACACTATGTTTTTTATAAGATTTTTTCAGCACATTCACATGTCAACATTGAATTCAACAAATAGATGAATTAAACTTTAAAAGATCTGAAATTCCAGTTTCGCGCTGTTTGATTACTGGATCATATATACGAACATATATGGTTCTGGTTCAACACTGGTATGATTCGAAATAGATTTGGTTTTCGATTCAGTCAGCATTAAGTTAGGGTTGAGGATTTATGAGATCATTTTTTTCTTTTTTCTATTTGATTGGAATAGGGATGTCCAATCCAGTTAAAACGATCCAAATCAAACAAAGGACCGATTAAAAACCGGTGTCCAATTGCTTTGGAGACTTTCCAAGTCATATTATTCATATTTCTTAAAACCCAAGAAGAAATTCAACTGTAAAAAACAAAACAATTGATAATTAATATCTATTTTGTTATTAAAACCGAAAACAATGATTTGACATTCCTAATTGGGTCGAATTTGGAGGTCAGGTTTAAACCGGACAGCTCAATTCCTCACATAATTCTAATATAAATCAATCTTGAATCAGCCAGGACCACAACAAATAAACTAAAAAGCCCAAAGAGATCAGGTGTTGCAAGCAGCTGGTATGATTGTTGTTGTTACAAGATCTGATCATGTAAATTGACATATTATTAAATGTGAATATGATTATCAGAATTTATTTTTTTGATTTAGAGCCAAACCTAACATAAAACTGCAAGTTCAGTTATATATGGGATTCAGTAGGATTTCACAATTTGAACATGTAATATGTTTTATGCCTATACTCAGCAAATGAAATCGGTTAATAGTAAAACCCAACCAAGAAGAAACAAACTAGACCATAATGGTTGCACCAGAGCTGACCCACGCACTTATCTAAAATTTGAACTCACCTGAGATGATCATCTTGAAAACTGAAAAGATCGGGAGCTTCTTGTTAAGTTGAGAAATCTTGGCATCTTTGGCACAATAAGGTGTTTTAATTATTAGTTTGACAGTACATATCATAATTATAAATATGGTTTGATCAAATGTATTCATATTACATATTTTTGGTCATTAATTAATATCAGCTCTTATGCGATGAATGGTGGAGGATTTGGGTAACCGGGTATTCTCGGATCGTGTCGTGGATTTGCGCCTGGTTCTGAATAATCCATCATTCCTAGACTAGCCTTTTCAGCCTACATTACACATTATTTTGTCTCATCAACAATTACTTTTTGTTTGGCAATTTCTTTTTTGGTGCTAAGATTATTGTTTGGCAAACTTTTGCAACAATGATTATATGGTGATGTTTTAAATTGACTATCAATAATTATTATTAATGAACGATAATATAGGATAAAAAAATCTATGAGAAGTAAGTATATTTTTAATAAGATTGCTTACCTTATTTAACGAATATTGGTCGGTATGAGTAATTCCACCATAGTCCTCCTCAAACCCTGAAAACAAATATGAGATATACAGTACCAAATATGTATAATTTATTTATAATATTTATATTATACAGTACCAGATTAGATCTTGATAAAATATTTAGAAAACATTATCGAAATCAGATAACAATTTTTTTACATCTTTAATATATCCTACATCATACATGTAAAACTGTAAATTGTAATCTTTTCTGTACTAAAATGTTTTAAAGATTCTGCATATATAAATTTTATTACCTGAAGAACACAATAGAAGCATAAGCACGAACGACATGAGAACAACCAGCTTCATCTTAAAAAGTTAATTTTTTTTAGGACACCAGAAGATAAATAATTTTTTGTTGTTTGAAACTAGGCTAACCCATGCATATATAACTGGGGAGTTACCAGCTGGAAAAATAAATATGTTGGCAAAAACTATATTGACCATATATGCCTATATGAATTAGACAACCACGCATGTATGTAATAATGTAATATGTATGTTTTAGTCCTTTTTTGTTAACCTTATAGTTGATAGAGTGTGTGAACTAAAAAAAAATAGGGTTAATGTTGCTTAAGATTTGCAACAGATTCTATGTTTTAAATATTTTTAATCGAAAAAAATGAGAATTAAAATAAATATATGATTTTTGGTTTTGTTTTTGTGGTTGTAATATAATTTTTCAGTAGTGATCCAATTTTGTTTTCTATTTTTTTTTTAAATCATTTTAACAAATTTTAAAATTTATTATTATAAACTTACATATACGCAGATCATAATTTAGCATATATATATATATGTGTGTGTAGGCGTGTATATTATTAATAAAATTGCCAAACACTTAAATTTAGATTTTATATTCAGATTTCAGAATGTAGAAATTTTGTTTGAATGAAAATGCAATCTTCATGTATAGTACAAATACGTAATACCAAACAAAAAGTGGTTACCGGATCAACAATATAACTTCTTTGCACACAAAAAATCTGATTAGCTGTAAATGGAACTTACAAGGCTTTATTTTTGTATATTCGTATGTGTTGAGTGAAAATCTGATTTTGCGAATATGTATTTTGCCTGTCATGTAGAATAATTGATTACAGTTTTCTTGGGCTAGTCAGCCATTATGATTGATCAATGTTCACTTTAAAGTTAATTAAAAAAAAATTAAGACACTCATCAAAGTATCTCCATTGTATGCTTAAAAACAACAAAATTCTACAAAGTATCTTATACGCATAAACTACATAAAATATTAATAATTAATTATTAAGATCCTTTTAGTGGTGTTACCATTGGGGTTGCTCTTAGAATGCTACTAAAAAAAATGATGTAATTAGTAGATATGCGTAAAGTTAAAATACTAAATAGAGTTACATACCCTAAGAAAATAATAACCAGCACTAAACCATGCACGTAAAAGCTAACAGCATATCATTGCCTTTCTTCATTTTGACTGTTTCTTTTTCTTTTTTCTCTATGATTCAGCGAATCAATTAACTAAAAAGAGAAAAACACAAAAAAAAAAAAATGAAATTAAGAATTACGAGCTTTTGGAGTGGAAGATAATCAGAGGTTAAGAGGATCAACTTCCGAGTTTCGCTCCTTCATTGGACTCCACTCTTCTGCCTCTGCAATAAACATTACCCATTTTTACCACAAACTAACACAACTTGGTCTCTATTTTTCTACACTCTTGTAATCAAAAAGGCCGATATCACCAGATTTTAGAATTATATATATGCATATACAAGACCACAAGAGAGAATAATAATAAAAAAGTGGGAATGGAACGTACTTGGCTTCTCGGAGATGACCATAAGTCGCCGTTGTAATATAGATGCTACAAAGAGGAAGATTGAGCACATACCAAACATGATTGTGATCGGAAATGCATCCACCTTCAGAAGAAGAATTTTTCAGTTTAGCTTTTTCTCTTTCTCTTATTATGCGAAGATGATGAAGACAGAGACTTATTCTTACGTTGTACAAGACGATGCAGACAAAGATATTGAGCGGAACACGGAAGAAATTCATTATGGTGCTTCGTGCTTCTTCAGGGATATACTGTGATCTCATCTTCATTATCGATGGCCAAAAAATTCCTACACAAGCCTCGAAAACACAGAAACCAAGTAGCTGAATACAGCAAGTTAACGACAACCCTTCGCCTTTCACATTTGATGGCGTCACCAAGACCTGCGCCACAACGTTATTATAGGGTCACTGTGCATATAAAAAAAAGAGATTGTATAAACAATGTAGCTTCAGAATCTGAGACATACGCTGGTTGTAATGGGAAGAAGAAGAGAAGCAGCAGAGACTAGGAAGACGATTTGCATGTAGTTTTCGACTCTGAGAGACGAGCGAGCCATGAGACGAGCTGCAAGGGAGCTTCCTAACATCGACGCCAGCATGAAGGTTGCAAAGACGAAGCCATGTGGAATTTCTTCATCGTTTGGGCTGAGAGCTGGTGTCCAGAGGAAAACAAATGTGTACATTGAGGCTTCAAACAGGGATTGAATAGCGCCCAGCAATGCAATCTTTTCATCTGAAAAAACACCATAGACTGTGTTAGAGATAGCGAGGAAACATAGCTTGCAAGTTTAATGCGGATTTGGACGAATGGATACAGGGTATATTGAGAAGCCTCTGAATCAACATATTTTATGCTAAATTTGAACCTGCCTGAAGCAATTGCTATGGCAGCAACTTTAAACTGAGTCAGCAGATCTTTGCTGTCAGATGGATCTCCAAAATTCTCAGACCATGTTGTCAATATGATGGCCATTCCAATTGCAAGAAAGCAAGCAGCTGCGTCAAAGGGAGCAACAGGACCAAAGGAAAACGTGTCGACAAGTAGATTTCCAAACAACCCGGAGAGAATAGCCACTAGACCATTCCCAAGGAAAACAGCCTTAGAGAATGTCAGTGAAAGCCACTGTTGCTCAAAGTTCCTCTGCGCATAGTTGTTCAGAAAAGCAAAAATTCACATCAGCCACGGCTAAAACTAAGACAATCACTCAGAAGCTTCCAAGTCTTTACTTTCTTTATCATCCAACTTTGTAAAAGGATTGTAAGTGAGCTTTGACATGTTCTAAAACAATTTGACGTCCTGAAATGATAGTTTCGACTTTCGAGGTACTATGCTAATCGAGAAACAGAGTAACAGACATGACTTGGAACACGTATTTATAAGAATTTTCGCAGGAACCAAACTAACAAACTACAGTTCGAGTTCGAATACCTAGACTGACTAATATGCACATGATGATGATAAGAGTAATAAGGCTAAGGCTTACCTTGTTGTGCTCTGCAATGAGCCAAGATTCGAAGGCTGAAAACAAGAGAGATGTAGCAATACCACCCAAGATTCGACCGACCATCAAAACTCTGTACTGTGGAGAGTGCTTTGTGACGCAGCTTAGTATGTAAACTATGCAGTATGTAACACATGCCCTCTTTCGGCCCCTGAATCCAAAACACACAGAGATAATTTATTTGCCTAGACACAGTTCTCCTCTAATAACACGGACTTGAACTTAAAATGAAGAAACTCTCACTGTTTGTCAGCCAGAGATCCAACAATGGTTCCGAACAACATCGAGGAGCCGAAACCAGCAATGAATAGCTGACCAATATCTCCTTTTCCGAAACCATAAGTGCTGTAGAGGTAATACACATAAGGACCCTGAAGCCAATCCCCAGCTGTAGCAACATAATCACACATATATATGAGTGCATATCTTCTTAAATTGATCATTTGACATGAATGCATTCAAGAACAATCATACTACCATCAATAGTTGCTTCGTTTTATCATTATAACAGTTTTATCTTCTTCCATTGAGCAAAACTCCCCAAAAATTGAAAAGCACATAATGTATCAGATGATAAACACATAATCTGATCTACGACACAAAAGATGAACCTAGTTATGACGCATGAGATGATGCATAAAAAAGAATCTGCCAGATGAAATTTACGACTATCATCAATAATTGGCACCAGATTTAGTATGAGCTACAATTGTATCTGCATCTGGATTTGATCTGGTACACAAGTGGATGACTCTTAATCAAAAAAAAAAAAGAAGAAGAAGATGTACTCGAGAATTTTACTATCGTCCAACTCCGGATAAACGCAAGACAGACACAATACTACTTATATCAGATCCGTAACAGGAATCGGCAATCGAATTGCAGGCGACGATGAATCACAGAGCTGATTCCGCTATAAAATTTCATAGAAAGCGAAAGCGAAGCGGATGTGTAGAAACGATTTCGCATTTAAGCAATTAATGGCGGAAATACGTACCCATCATAATAGAGAAAACGACGAGGTAATTGTTCTTGAAGGAATTGAAGGAAGAGGAAGTGTTGATCCGATCCTTGTTTGTCTTGCTCAGTTCCAACGCTGCCACTACGGCAGCCATGGCTCCAAATACCAAGTAGTAGAAGACCTCCATTGTTGCTTTCGCTTCTCTCTCTCACTCAGACTCTCAGAGTTAGAGAGCTACGGAGAAGAAGATGAAGAAAGCAATTGTCACGGAGTGGAGAAGGTGTGTGGGATTGTACCGAACCAATTTACCGAGTATTGAATTTTCTTTGTACAACGCGGTTATGATACACGTAAGCGTGAATCGGTGAGTATTGCTATTAATATTTATTAGTTTAATCCTTACTAGGAGTTTAGCCCGCACACATATGCATGTATAAACAGTTTAAAAAATTTAATTACATAAATATTTAAATCGTTATAAATATTTTAATTTTTATAATATATAAAATATTAGATAGGACGATTAAATTATAAGCCCTAATAGCAAAATATGATAAAATTTTAACTAAACATTTCATTATAACAAAATGTCCATTTTATTATGTTAAAAGGCCAAATGGATCAGACCCTAGATAACTGGTTGAGCGGATTACCTGCTGCGGATTTGCGGATCAGGCGTGCATACCTGTAAATTTCATCATCTTCTTCGTCTTCAATTAATCTTCCTCAATTTATCCAGTTATTTAGCTTCTAAATTCTCGAAGACTTCTTTGTATAAAACAAATATTTGAACTAAAATAAATTAAACACAAAAAATTATTTGAACTTAAATATATTCCAGCTTCTCTTTGTATATTTGTTTAGCTTATGTTTTGTGTGGACAACAAAAATAGGTTTTTTAGTTAAACATTGTTAGATTAATGTTACTTTGGATTATATAGTCGGTGCATGTAATGAAGACAATTTTCATAATTTTTATACAATTTGATGATACAATTAATGTTGCTTTAGATTATATTGCAGAACGACAATCTCAAGAAGACTGTTAAAAGTAGATAATCATACTTCAGTTAACAAAACGTGGTATACTCTAACTTCTCTTTGTATATTTATTTAGCTTCTGTTTTGTGTGAACAACAAAAATGGATTCTTTAGTAACAATTAATGTTACTTTAGATTATATACTCGGTACATGTGATGAATATATTTTTTTTTATATAATTTAACGTGTACAAATATGTGCATGTAATAAAAAATATAACATATGTTTTGTGCATGTGATAAAAATGACGGTTTACAATTTATATTAGTAACTAAATCTTTCTTATTTTTAAGTTTTCATAAAATAATTATTTGAAATAAAATAAATTAAACACATAAATTTTCTTTTGCAATATCATAATCCACATGTGTTAATAAATGTCATGTCACAATTACATCATCATTACACATCATCATTTCCATGTCACATTTAATTAGGTTAGATTGATTTTAACCAATAAAATTAAAACAAATCACTATATTTCATTAAACTACAATATCAATTAATAGATAGAGGATATATAAAAAATTGTATTTATTTTGTATATATAAAAAGGATGATCACATTATTTATGAACTAGATAGATGCTTTGAGGTGGGATATATTTTTGGCGTTACAAATTAAAATCTCAATCTAGACAAAAGAGAGTAAAAATCATTACCTTTTCAAATTTTAATTGTTTACGATACTTACTCACTCAGCCATCTCTATGTATTCTCTCTAAAGCCATGACTTGGTCTTGGTGACATTCGAAACACATAACCAAAAGGTTTTAGCCAAGTATAGCTAGATGAACCAGTTAAAACCAAAGAACCAATTTTCTGGTTATGCATCGAACTAAGCAAGCAGAGAGGCTCTTGCCATTGCCAAGGACCCTTCATAGGTCCGGTTTGCACCAATGAAACCACTCATGTGCACAAAAACACATCCCGGAATCGAGCTTTCCTCTGAGAGCTTCTCATTTTCTAGACCTCTCCATGAAATTGGCAAAGCTTTACGGCTCTCAAACCTCTCTGGTGAAACCGAAACCGCTTGAATTCTCCAGTTATCGCTTCTATCATCCTGCACAAATCCACATACACACTCATGGGCTTAACCGCTTAAGAGAAACTAAGCTCACAACATAGTAAGATCGTTGCATATACTTTCAATAGTACCTGGTAAAGAACATATTTTACGGGAGGATCGATCTTCATTTCTTCCTCTAGCTCGAATATATGGAGTTTCCACTGTCAATAGCACAAACCTCTTCACATCTTTCAAAACTAATTTCCACCAGAACAATTCTAATCCATCTTGCAAATTCAAATGTGATAATATATGAAAACTCTAAAAAGAGTTAATTTTAACTTACTGGGCATTGTTTACTGAGCTTCATGATTTCTCCACTTGAGTCTATATCATGTCGTTCTGCAAGACACTCCATAACAATCGACCGAGCTGGTAACCACGATTTCGCGTGAAAATGAACACACTATCAAAAGAAGGTAGAACACAAGGTATTATTCTCACTTCAAACTCAAATAGGAAGGCAAACATATTCTGATACCAATCAGTTCTTATGAAACGAAACCAGTTCCATTCTATTTTATATAATTAGATGAGACAGAACGGAAAAAAACCTCCAAGAACTCGGAGCCAGCAAGTTCCATCGCCCGATGAAAGGCTTCATCTTCTTTGCTACTAGACTGATCAGGTTCAATCCAGTCTAAGTTCAACCTTGCAATCCTATATGACAAGCTCGTATTGTTTACATATCGTGCAGGCTTATCAGTATCATATTGATGGATGCCGTTGTCTATAGCATCTACTGCCTGTAATTGTATGTATACAACAAGGATCTACCTTAAAAACAAGTGAAAAACATTACAGAAATATGAAAAGTTCAAGAAACTGGTCTCTACCATCTGTTAAATCAAAAACTACCATCTCTTTCATCGTTAATCTCAATTTAAAAAGAACATTTCAGACAGAGTCATATGACCTGATGGTGACAAAACCGGGAAATAGAATACTTATCTAGTCAGACAACAGATGCAGTAACTTGTGTCCATCAAACATAAAACTTTGAAACTTTATAGCTTGTTCAATGATGTGAATGGATATTTTTCTCAGTAGATACCCTACGAAACTAGCAGCGTAAGAAGCAACATCTATAGACCAAGAAGTAAGTACCTCAATGAAGTTTTTGTACACAGCTAGAAACAATCGATGCACATCGGGATGCCTCTGATCAAGTTGAAGCTCCTTAGCAATTATCTCCAATCCATAGTGCTAGATAAACAAAACCATCAGCACAAATGTCTCTAAATAATCATCAAGATCACAGGAAACAATCTTCTCTTGCCTTATAGATTAGCCCGGCAGTACTGAGCTTAGTATTAAACCCATGGCCAAACACTTCGGTGAATCCTTTCTGGTGATGGTCATAACGTTCACTCTTAGGATCATACACTCCTCCAACATCAAGAGCCGCATCAAGCTTCTCCAAAACCTTATGATCACATCACAAAATCAAGTAGAAACTAAGACAGATCTAACGCGAAATCAATCACTGCACAAAATCGTAACTGCCCACGCGCAAGTATACAGAAATCGAACGAGAAATTTCAAAATTTAAAGAATTCTCCATTGAAATCAACCCTTATCGCTATTCTCGAGCCATTTCTCGGAGTTTTCCGAGGACCAAATTGAATCGAAAGAAAGAAGATTCGCACACATATACGCTCAATAACATGATATATGGAACAATAAGTACACCTGATGATCTCTAGTCCGGACGATTTGGGCATCGGAGAATCTGCTGGAGAGACGAAGCATGAAGCAAGCTAAGGTTTCGTCGCAGTGGAAAGTTCCATTATGCGTCCCAACCCGTTTCTGCGCGGAATTCGACGAGAAACTAGCTCGGAAGTTTCCAGAACGTTTCAGAAACAGAGAATGATTCCAGATTCTGCTGCAGAACAGAGCTCTCGACCCAAACATGGCTGAAAGAGAAACCAAAATGGTCAACGACTAAAACCCTTGACTTTCCCTTGACTTGTTGGGTTTAAGCTCGACTAAACGTCGTAGTTTCGGAATTTGGGAATTTGACCAAAACGTTGTCGTTCAGCGTTACACTTTTAACGGTATCATTTTAAACGTTACATTTTACCACACTTTTTGGACATGCTGTATATATATTTTCTTGGGATTTTTTAATAGAGTTGATGATCATTGGTTGACCTACCAATATGGTTGATCACCACACTCACATTCTGGTAATCAAAGCTAATTGTTTCCAAAATTCTGCAACATTTTTTAATTGATTCCATGTACCAAACGCATTGTTAAGTTTTAATCGTGGGACCCTGTAAATATAACCCCTAATCATAGAAAATTAATATACGATGACAGCACCAATGACAAATCAGTTGACGATCGTAACAACAAAAAGAGTTTGGATAATCTTGAAGTAATTCAAACATAATTTCAAAATTTTGTAAAACTCATACAAAAAAATCATGCAAACTAACATGGCAAAAAATAGTAGTATTAAAGAAATGCACCCCAATTACTTTAGAAAGACATGCTCAAAAAAAAAAAAAATTACTTTAGAAAGACTTCAAACCAAAGAAACAGAGAAATGTGGTCAATAAGCATAATATCATTGCCTTCAACCAAATCACCTAACATATTTTTCATGATCATAATTCTCAAACTAATCACAAACTAAGATCATTATTGACCCAAAATAAAAATAAAAACCGAAATTTACATGTCAACATCATAATAGATTGAAAGCTAACAACTACGTTTTGGAACAGATTCGATACATTCTATGGAGACAAAGACTTGTAGTCTTGTAGAGATATATATATATATATATATATAGATCGTATAAGTATTGATATTACCCAATTAACTTCTCTTACGCATATAATCTCAAAACACTTTATGAACAATGGCTTTCGTTCACCTACTCATCTCCCTTCTCGTCTGCATTAACTTCACGTCTTCGATCTCCGTCGTCCCTGACCCAACAACACAAGAGCTAATCAACAGAATCTGCAAACAAACAATCGATTTCAAGTTCTGCAACCAAACAATCACATCTCAGCTAATCAGACGACGAACCTCAATCAAAACAATAGCGAAACTAACCGCAGCTAAAGCTTGGATCAACGCCATAGAAACGTTGGATAACATCGAAGGCTCCCTTCTTCCGAAAGCAAGAGATCGTCGGAGCAAAGCAGAGTTCTCCGCTTGTAGGAAAGCGTATAGATTGGTGGATGCTCATCTTGATAACGCGTTGAAGTATTTGTATCTCAGAGACTATCGATTCATGAGAGCGTATCAAGCTCTTGCGCTCGTGAACATTTCCATGTGTAGGACGAGTTTCTTTCACCCGACGCCGATGGTGTATGCGAATTGGAACATGAGGATCTTGACTGATATGGCGATTTATGCTAGCCGGATTCTCGCTCCTCCTCCTCCTCTAAGACCCAAGACGGAGAAGAAGACGCCGTGAAAGACATGTTGTGTCGGAACTCCGAAGCTAGTTTTTTCTTATTCTTTTATCATTGAAATCAACTAGTATTTGTCAGATTTTTTCAAACGAAGTTTTAAAGAATATACAATAGCAAAAAATAATAAACATTTTTATCACATAATTTTTTTTTTCAAAATAAGTTACATTTTCTTTATGTTGATTTTGTGGGTAGATATAGTTGTTATTTGTTGATAGTAGTTCTAGCTCAATTGTTCAACTAAAACATTTTGGAAGGATCGTGTTTTCTCTTTCTTTTTGAAAAATCGTGTAATACTGTTTTGGGATGGCGAGAAAATAAAGGAAGAGCGTTTTAATTATTAAATATCAGAAAATAAAGAAACTTTCGGTAAGCTTTCTCAAACCTCTGCTTTGCTTTGTAGAAAAGGCTATAATAAATCAAGTCGGGTTAATGGGTTACTCACTCTTGACTCTTGAGAGGATGCAATTAAAATTACTTTTTCCTTTTTTCAGTTGATAGAGGTTTTAGGAAAATTGCTCACAACAATTATGGTAACTTCTATATTTATAAATAATGTATATATAGAGCAGTAATTCATTAAGAGATTTTAGAATATCTTACCTTGTGAAAGCAAACCTATCCTCACGAGGAGCCGCCTCAGCCTCAGGCCATGGAGAAAGAAGGCACCCAAGATGGCCCAAAAACCGGCGGAATACTCTCACGAGATTCTGACTCTTACAAACTTTACTTCAAGGGTTTGGTAAGGGAGGAGACAAGGGGGCCTATTGCAGGATTTGGGGTTGCAATTTGCAAACAAGAAGATGACAATCTCTTGTTTCAGATGAAAGGATCACTTCATGACTCCGCCATTACAGTTTTGGAGGTTGAGCTTATGGCATTGAAGCGAGGACTAACCGAAGCCGTGAGCTTGGGGATCCCTCATATCTCAATATGCTGCGATCATGATCAGATTTTTGAACTGGTAAGTAAGTTTTTTTTTTTTTTACTTTGTTTAAGATTCACATGACTGACTTAGTGTTGCTACAAATCTCGTATTTAGGTCTTGGGAAGATCCGTGCCTGAGAAAGATAGCATTGCCTTGCTAATGAATGATGTGGAACGCATCAGACAACAACTGACATCTAGCACCCCTGTTCTGGTGACTGGAAATCAAACCAAGAATATTGCTTACAAGCTTGCAATGGAAACCCTAGTTTCTGAAATCAGCATATCTATGCCTCCGAGTTGCGGTATGGTCTGTGCCGATGACCAGAAGAAGAAGAAGCTGGCTTGCGGTATCTGTTTCGAGGAAGATTTCGAAGCGGAGCAGATGTTTTATGTTGCTTTATGCCGTCATCAATTCTGCGTCGAGTGCATGACACGACACGTAAATAGGAGTCTACTCGAAGGACGTTTGATGAGATGCCCTCGTCCCGATTGCTACTCTAAGTTGACTATTAAAAGCTGTGCCCATCTTTTGGAACCTAAAATAAGAGCCATCTGGGAACAAAGGATCAGAGTGGGCTCGGAAGAAACTTATCCATGGCGTGAATGTAAAAATTGCCAACACGTGAATGAACTTAAAACGTATCGTGGCTACGTAACTTGCAGGTATCATCTCTGACTAATCATATTTCTCTAGATATTATAATCCTTTGATTGATTGATTGTTATATATAAATATATATATATTTCTTTATGGTCGATGGTATAGCTGTGGGTATTCGTTTTGCAACGAATGTGGAGACGAATGGAAGCACCCTGGTTGCCGTCATCTCCAAGCTAGGAGTGAAGAAGCAGCAGGTGCTGCATGTTGTTGTACTCTTTTATTAGTTATGCTTATAGGCCTTTGCGCTATAATAGCTTGGTTGGGGGGGAATACAAAAAATAGTAGGGGTTGGCTCAATTAGGTTTCGCTGGTTATTTAATTCAATAAATATTGTACCAAAAAATAGTTTTGGATCAAGTTTTTTTTTAAGGTTTATAAAAGTTGGGTGTTTAAGTTTTTCAAGTCGTCTCCAATATATGTCCAAGTAATTTTTTTAGATTAATTTGATTTTTTATCAAATCAATCAAAATATTTTAATTAATACATATTGTCTACTAATTTTTATTATTTTTTAACTTAAACCCATTAAACCCAAATATGTTTTTTTGTTAATTTTTGTTTTAATTTTCTTCAAATTCAAACCCGAATAATAAATAACATCAAATAAAAAAAAGTTATATCTTTATTTTACTTTTTACCAAATCTAAGCCCAAATAATAATATAACAGCAAATAATTTTTTTTTTGTCAAATCCAAGCCCAAATAATAAATGTTAGAGGGGAAATGAACATATTTTTTTCTAAAAGGCTTTTTCTAGCAATAACCTAAGCCCACCAAGACGAATGAGATTATGCCGACCTATCTCGGTAAAAAAAAAATCTCTTAAAGGATAATCTTGGAATCTAGAAGCATCAGATCAACACAAAGGATAAAAGAGAATTTCCATATTCTTCGGAGAAGAAGGGTATTTCCATATCGCGAATATGGAAATATTCACCAAAGGAAAAAAGAAAAGGAGTTCCGAGCAACTGACCTCTCCTTATTTATAAGACCCCGAAGCTGAAGAAAACAACTTAGACAATCTAGAGAGCAGCAGAGCAAAAACCAAGAACTCCAACGCTTTCTAGTTTACTTCGCAAATAATTTCTTTTCACTTCGGCATAAATTCTCGGTTAAGCCATCTCTTGTAACCGCTTCGCTTTATAGCTATTAATAAATATCTTATTCTCCGAAACCCACAAATGTTAATCAAATCCTTAGTGGTGATTTTCTGGTTTAACAATTGGCGCCGTTTGTGGGGTCTATGAGAATAAAATTCTTAAAAACTAGCGACCAAAGAACCGAAGCGATGAGCATTCCGACCGATAACAGCGACCTCACCCTCAACAATGAGGACACCACCACGCGCACTGAGACATCTGCTCTCGACAAGCACGGCAACCCTATCATCGCGATCCCACCCGCAGGAGCACCTCCGGCTCCTATCCTCGCCACGGACCTCGCAGCAGCGATCCAAGCAGCCCTGAATTCTGAGATCGCAAGGTTGCACCAGCGGATTAACGCAACCAGATCTCAAGTCCACCGCGCCACCAGTTCGGCACCTGAGATCTTGGCCATACTTTCAGACGCCGAACGTAACCTGTTCGCCTTGCAGATCACAGACGTTCGTCTCGGCGCGGCGATCAAACTAAAACTCCCATACTCCAACGGGATGGAAGACCCGAACCTATGGCTAACCGGGTTCAACATCGCCATGAAGAGGCAACGGTTCGAAACTGACCTCGAACGCGAAGCTAACCACTGTCAGACCTCCGTAGAGCATCTCAGCAAAGACACTTTCAAGTGGTTCTCCAACCTCCCACTGGCATCGATCAAATCTTTCAAATATTTGACCCACGCCTTCATAAATCACTATTCCATGTTCATCACGAAGAGGACGGTCAACCTCTTCAATTTGGTACAAGAGCGCGACCAGCCGCTTCGCGGTTTCATCAAAAAATTCAAGAACGCCGCTGCAGCGTACGGCCAGATCTCGCAAGCTTTAGCCATCGAGGCACTCATGAACGGCCTCTGGTTCGAATCCTCCTTCAAGGAGGATCTGCAGAAAAACACGAAGGAGACAATAGAAGACACACTCCATCGAGCTCAAACTTTCATACGAATGGAGGAGGAGAAGACTTTCTACGCCAAGAAGCACAGCATGGACATAGCAAGCACTTCGCAAGATAAGGATCTGGCGGGCAAAAGCAAACCGTCCTTCCATGCCGTCATCGCCACCAGAGAGAAGCTCTGGAATCAGTGGACCCGCGGCAATCCTCCAAGGAATTCAGACGATAGGGACGACAACCACGATCTCTACTGCTCTTTCCATGGGTGAACGGGGCATGCTACTTCAGCCTATCGATACCTCCAGAACTTCTTGTACAAAAAATACAAGGAAGGAAAAATTGACATCAGCGGAGATCGATCCCATAACAAAAGTTCTTACTCACGCAGCTCCAACCCTAAAGACTCGCGCCGAAGCACCTCCAGCAAGGACCGTCAAGATCCAAGGAAAAGCAGCAGCCGAAGCAGCTCTGGAGGAAGACGCCGAAGTCGTTCGCCGAGAAAAAGCGAGAAGAAAAAGAAAAAGAAAAAGAAAAGGGGGCGGAGCACGACAACGACGACGGCGAACTTGACAATCCACCCCCTCGACCCAAACAACGAGTAAACATGATCATGGGAGGACTCTCCGACTGCGACGATTCAGTTCACGCCATCAAAGAGTATGGCCGAAAAGCGATTACTTCGCGAAAGTTCCCTCGCCCCATGGACTACCATCCGACGATCACGTTCACATCGAAAGATATGCTTGGGTTACACACCTCTTATAACGACCTGCTGGTTGTCGAGTTACACATCCACGATAGCGAGGTGGCCAAAATATTGGTGGACACCAGCAATACGGTCAATATCAGCTTCAAAGATACTTTGACCAAGATGAGACTCCACGATAAAGACATCAAGGCAGCGCCAAAGCCTTTAACTGGCTTTGCTAGCGAGTCTTTCTTCAGCCGCGGCACCATACGGCAGACAGTCTACATCGGCGGAGTGACAAAGATTATCAAATTCACGGTCATGGATAAATCAGCGATCTATAATATCATACTTGGCACACCTTGGATCCACGATATGAAAGCTATCGTCTCGACCTACCACCAATGCATGAAGTTTGCTACCTCGGTCGGCATCTTCACGATTTGCGGCAATCAGCAGATGGTAATAATCTGCTTTATTAGCGAACGCAAGGTGCGGCTCTCCGCGGCAAAAGCCCTTGAAGACACTAAACAAACGGAGTAGATTCGACAAAGAATCCCGCAGCTTTTATATTTAAGTTTTTTATTTTTATTTATTTTATCATTAAAGGCTGGCATGGCCCTTGAGGGATAATACTCATTCAATAATTGTATCGAACTACGAACGGCTTGATCCCAACTTGGGTACGTAGGCAACCTCCGAGTACAGCTGTAAATTTAATAAATTTTTATTTTGGAAAATCACCTCGGCTCGTAGAGCAGTATTTTCTTATGCAAATGCATCTTGCTGAATCGATGTTCTGGCCAAACATTCGATTCGAAAAAGCAGAAAAAAAAATTAAATTTGTGGCTGATCACCACTCCTTTGATACTTCGGTTCGATTTAATTACTTCTGAAGTGGATAAGACGAAAGCCGAGGACAATACTCGCACAATCCTTGATCATACCTTTCAGGCCGAAATGAATCCTGAAAAGCTTGGTATCCGATCTTGATCGTTGTTTGGTATAAGACGGGCAAAAAAATCCTGCTCCCAACTCTGAACTATAAAGTTCAAATCGCATAACAAAAAATTTAAAAGTATTTGCGGATACTTTAATTTGCTTTTGCAAAAAAGAAAAACAAGCACGAAGAGCAAAACGTAAATTCATTATAAAAACCCTTTTGGGAAAAGTCATTACAACAAAAAAGGACCTCGCAAGGGCCAGTCAAATAAAAAACAAAAATACAAAGAGAATAAAAAAGTAAGCGGCTCGATGTGGATCTTCTCTTGGCTCCCTTTATGCTCGCTTTAGCAGGCTATCAATTTCTGATCTGCTCGGGAGGCTAAGGTCTTCGCCAGTAATAACTATCTCATCGATTGCATCACTGGTAGCTTGCCACTTCACAGACTCCCTCTCAAAAAACGGAATTGTTCCGGCAGGATGCTCCCATCCTTTGTCCTGTATCTTCTTCAGAAACGCCACCATCAAGCTACTCTTCTCCACGCCCATAAGGGCAGATTCTGCCTCTTCTCGCTGAGCCAGCGATGCCTGAATCCGCTCAAATCGCGGCTTAAACCAAGAACCCATACCGTCAAACAACTTGTCGACAACACCCCGTGAGATCTCGTCATGAGAACTTTGAAGCTTCTCCTTTTCGGTGAGGAACTTTTGCAAGTCCGCCTTGTTCCGCTTCTCAAGAGACTCGTTCTGTTCTTGGAGGGCGGTAACCTGCTTATGAAGCTTAGAAGCCTCCGCCACCTCACCCCCAAAGGCTTCAACGGTGCCTTCAAGCTGGGAACACCTCTCCATGAGAAGTTGATTCTCCTCTTCCACCTTTTGGAGCCTTTTGATCTCGGTACAAGCGACGTCCATCATCATCTCCTTATGACAAAATTTTTTATCATATGTCGCGAATACGGACATATATGCTCCCAAGCCATGCGCCACAATCTATTGTTAGAAACACGCAACAAAAAGGGGGCAGAAACGAACTAGCCTAAAAAAAACAGAATACCCGAGCTATCAGATGATTCACCGAAGATATTGACTCCGCCAGCTTCAGCTCTCGAAGCGGTTTACCCCACCTTGGGTTCTTCCTGTACTTCCAGATTAAATTCGCGACGAACTCGCGGTTGAGCATCGCTGGAGTGACCCCATCCCATCTCGCGCACAAGTGATGAGGGTTGTAATCAAAGAACTCCTCCTCCTGTTTAGGCTCGGCGGGAGCACTTGGGCCATCACCATCAGTACCCGGAGTATCTCGTGAGGGAGCAGGCTCCTCAGGACGAACCGTAACAGGCTCTTGGGTCTTTTCCTGACCTGCATCTTCTGTGTCCTGGACCTCGGGACTCTGAGGAATGTCGGCCCGGGGCGGCGAGGGAACAGCCTCACGACAGTTCGCGGCAGCATCAGAGGGACCCCATCATCCCCGCCTTCGGCTTGAGAGGTAGTTCCTTGAAACACTTCGCTTTGAGGGTCCCTTGAAGCCTTCTCGGCCCTAGCTCGCCTCAACCTTTCCAGCGCCGCTGTCCTGGAGAAACTTTAAAAAGAAAAAGAAAAAAGCAAAGTGTCAAAGAATCATCTCGGCACGATAAAGCGAAACACAAAGTGAGAATAAAGATTTACCTCGCGAGAGTCTCATTCTCTGCAGCCAGCTCGGCATCGTCAGAATCCATCAAAATAGG